CTTAAGGAGATAAAATCTCATTGATGAACTCCGAAATAGCTTTATGTGTTTTAAAAAATTCTAAATTTTAAGGTATACACACTTAGAGAAATTATGCCTCGATATGATTTATTATTAATACTTAATGTAATATTTTATTTAATCAAAAGCTATGTTAAGTTTGGAAGTATCACTGAAGTTTTCAATCAAGATAGAAAATAATTTTCCAAATTGATTTTAATTCTAAAAAAAAGAAAAATTCTTCTTGACCACAAATGACGGTATTTGGTAGAAAATACTTTGTTTTTGTGATATATTGCTACATTTCAGTCAACTTAAATCTCAGATCTCTAAGAATGGAATATTTTAATAACTCCATGTAATGTACCAAAAGTACTAATCATAGATAGATACATAGATAGACAGACTGATTACATACAGAGTATTAGTGAATATCGAAAATGAATTGACTGAAATCAGATACTTAGAACATATTTCAGAAGAACAAAATGCAATTTATCTTGGCTTCCTCAAATCGTTTTGCAACAAGTTGGAGTGTAATAAAAAGAAGAAGAACCTAAGAGCACATGAGTCATTCTTCTCTGATCTGGATTTTTAATGCTTCGCTTATTTTAATTGTCCTGTGTTCTTTTGTAGATAGTAACCCATACGTTTCATGTAAATGTGTTGTTTCTGCATAGTATGGTAAGACAATCTTATATAGAAAAATTCAAACTGAACTGATAACAAATGGTCTTCTGGCTGTAAAAAGATTCTTCAATTTTGGTAACAAAAACCTATTATGTATTTCTATATGTTTTGATGTACCAGATCTTAAATTAATCAATCAAAGCAATTTATTAAAGTGTTACAGTGTTTCTACAATGTGGAAGATATTTTAAAACCCTTAGGAGCATAGATTTTGTAGAGAGATCTGGATTCAAAGGAAGATTGCACTTTTTATTAATTTGGGTTAGATATCTAAACTTCAGTTTTCTCATCTGTACAATGGGAATAATATCAACCACATAAGGCTCTCATAGGATTTAAATGATTTAATGAATTTTTAAAAACTAGAACAATTCCTGCCATATAGCAAGTGCTCACCATTTCATAGTAGATATTAAAATTATTATCAGGGACCAGTTAATTTGCCTATGTATACCACCTTGCAACTATAATGAGGGCATGATGGAAAGAATAAAAAATAAATAGATAGGGGTTTTTCAAATTATACCACATCCTTTGGGAATCTGGTATGGAAAAGAAATATTTAATATTTTATATCTTATATTGTGCAGATTGGCTTCAGATGAGTATTTTATGTTTCTCCAGGAATGCCAACTCAGAAGTGCAATCACAAAGAAGATCATTTGACCACCTTACCCCAATTAGGGTTAATTATAGTCTCCTACACATAGATGTCTTTAGATATCTTAAAATATATATTTATCTGGTAGGCACATTTTGAGCACATAATAATACCATTCTAGGTTTTACATAGATTTCCATGTACATTTTCTACTTAGCAGCTTGTTTAGAGAAGAAAAAAAAAAAAAAAACAGTTGATATTTGGGAAGATATTGTAGCTAAGTGCCCATTTAATTTTATGTATCTTAAACCTTCTAATCTGGCGATGCGGGTGCTTCATTGTTCTAAGCTATTTCTGGCTTTGTCTTAATGAAAACCTAAAAAAATTTTTTTTAGCTAAAGCACTACTAAAATTGAATTTCCAACTTCTACTAGAATGTTCAGGTTTTAAAGGTTTTCCTTTTAGAAAAACCAAGTGAGGAATCCATTTCTTCTATAGACACTGCTCACTAAAAGTATGTCAAATTTAATAGAAATGTAAACTTTTCTCTAATACAGATCTTATCAAACCTCCCAGAAGGTAGTGTCTTTGTTCCCCTTGGACTTATTGTTGTCCATATTACATTTCTGTCTGTAGACTCTTATAGTAACTGTTAGTGTTGAGAGCTTTGGTCATAATCTTGAACCATCAATTGGTATGAGAGTCTTATATGTAAAGTTATCAGTTTTCCTTGGTCACATTTTATGTCAAATGAGACTGACAGAGTATTCTTTTTAAACATCATTTATGAACTTACCTTCAAGAAAAATCACAAAACATAGACCCCTAAATTCCTTTGTTACAGACATTATTAAATAATGTAGGTAATGTATTGCAAAAAGATGGCACCAGACTGAAATCAATGGTGTGTTTTGTCACCTTTAGTAAGTAAAGTATGAATTCAAAATGATGATGCTTGGTCCAAAATGCCAAATAAATATAACCAAAGGAATGTCCCTTAAATAAATCTTTTCTCTGTGTGAGGTCATTTGTCATACTCTATACAAGGACAACTTTCTGTGAGATGTGAGGTAACATTTTTCTGCCCTAGGGAACAACAGCAATTGCTAGGTCATTCTCCTTCAAACTACCCTCCTCCAATTTCCCACGCACACCCTTTCTGCCTCTGAGTGACTTTATAGATCACCTAAGGAAAGGCATTTGTAGATGGTTGAGTGTAACATATATGAAGTCAAATCTACCTTCTTCCCTCCAGATGAACAGCCATGACAAAACTCTTCAAGATGAAATGTCCCAATATCTTCCTTTCTGAGATCTATCTTAAAATTAAACAGCTTTAAGTCTATATGATTTGTTAATTTCTGCATTATTATTAGGGAGACTTTACTTTCAGAATATTTTCTGTTGTACCCATGTAGGGAAATTTGAAATAGAGATTGGGGGGTGGTGGTGGTGGTGGTGCATTAGAGGAATAAAGTAGGCTTTGTAATCCCTGATTTTAAATCTAATCAGAATGTTTAAAATGAAAAATTTAAAGAATTATAAATTATTTGGCAACATTAAAGATAGATAAGAGAGATATTAATCCAACGAATTTTGTCATTTTCCATGACCATCATATCATCTAAGTTAGACTTGGCCCTTTGGGTTTAAAAAAAAAAAAAAAAAAGCATGTGAACTTGTCTCGCCCTCCCCTCCCCACTTCTTTTCTTAGAGTGGTAAAAGAATAATACATTTAGAAATCATTACTGTGAGAATTCAAGTGATTTAACTTCAGCACGCTAATGCACTTTTTTAAAACAACTAAATAATGTATATAAAAATTGTGCTGAAATTACTCTTAATGCTTCACAAGAAGAGTGGCTTGTTTTATTCTTCTGCAAGACTATTTCATTACCATAATTTTCAAGCATGCAGAGGTGCCATAAAAACTCTCCTAATTACTTGTGTGTCACTGACCATTTTTTTTTGAAACACACACTATCACATCCATAAGAGGCAAGGGAGCGCTAAATTGAGTGGCAACACCAAAATGTACCACCAGACAAAGGCTCTTCTTCAAACTGCTTCACAAGGCCACGAACAGAAAGAATCTTTTCTAATATTTTCCAGTAGGGGGAACTAAAGACTCACCATCCAGCTTTTAGCTCGGCTCGGGAACCTGCGCGAGTTCTTATAACTCGCCTTGTAATCATCCGAACTAGCATCAAACAACTACCAGCGAGCCTGTGATCACACGTGGGCCGGGCTCCACCGGCCACACCAGTGGCACCCCAGACACTAGCATCCCTTTGATCTAATGTGGGCTGCCTTAATCTTCCCGGTCCTGAATGGCATTCACTTGGTGGGTTCTGCCTTAATTTTCAGGATTTTGTCATCTTTGGGCTGCAATTCAGCTGTTTTTGAGCTTCGTTAGCTCAGTTGGGTTTTCAGGTTTTCCGAACTTCCTTTCGGAGGTGATAGTCTCTGGAGGGTAATAACTTCGGGTACCGGTCCCCCGCACCCAAGCTCCCTGATCTCCTTTCTCCATCCTAAGCGTTTTCTGAACTCCCTGGCATCCCTCAGCCCCGCGTCAAATTCATCTTTGAGGGGGTCATAAGGCAACTAAGTAACAGGAGAGGGGATGCCACCCCTTCCCCTCCCCCCCCCACCCAGGATTCCTCAGGGGGCCATAGATCTTGGCTAAAACAAGCCAGTGGAGACTACAGATTTCTGTACATCTCCCTCCCCCCTTTTTTGTGCCTTTTTAACGACGGAGAAAGCACCCCGACCCAACCTTTCCGCTCCAAGAGGTGGTTATATTGTTTCCTTTCCTTTTCTCCCTCCCGCTCAGCTTCTCATTTTGCTAAAAGGTGAAGAGTGAATGTTTGTGTGATTTTAACGGGTAATGAGGCTGCACCCGGGGTCCTGGACGGATGATCTTTTTCCAGAAAGCGTGTGCATCTCCGGCAGACGGAGGGATGAATAATTAGGAAGGGCTTCCATGAAATCGCTCACCGAGAAAATTACCTGCCCATTAAACGGGACGCGGCGAAGGGCAGGAGGCTAGAGCCCACCTATCCCCTCCCGAGGCGGGAAGCAGGGGGGGACGACGAGGCGCAGAGAAGGGGAAGGAGTTGACCGGTAGCCTCGGCTCCGAATTTGTTAATTTCTGTCCCACTCGGACTCTAGGCTTTCCAGCTCCCCCTTCCCCCACTGCCCAGCGGGCTGGCGCCCCCTGTGCGGGCGGGTGGCGGAGCGTGGAAGTGGAGGCTCCGTGCACCCCCTCATCACCCCCCGCCCCCCTCCCCGGGGCAGACTCCAAGCAGCTTTCATTCCTCCCCTCCCCTCCCGCCTCCTCGCCTTCCCTCTAAGTCCTTCCACCCGCGGCAGCTGCAGGAGGAGGCGGACGCTCTGCTGCGGGGCCGCGGGAGCAGCGGCAGCGGCGGCGGCGGCCGTACCAGGTGGACTGGCAGCTAGACCCGGGCGGGCGGCTGGACCGCGCGCTCCCCTGCTCTCCCGCTCCTGGGCCCCTGGGCTCACCCGCCCCGCTCCGCACCCGCCCGCCGCCTGCCGCCGCCCGGGTTCACAGCCGCTCGGAGGCGGCACCGCGGGGTGGTGGCAGCAGCCTCAGCCCTGCCCCTCTATCCCTCCCGCCTTCCCTCCCTCCCTGCAGCCCCACCACGTAGGAGTTCGGATTCTCCACCCGCCTCGTCCCTATTTCCCTTTGCCTCTCTTTCGGGAACGAGAGAGGTGGAGGGAGGCAACGAGGTTGCAAAGGAGAGGGCCGCCAAATCGGCCCGCCTGCAAAGTGTTGCTTTGACACATCCTTATTATGGAAGTTTAGTGAAAAAACTCTGGACGTGGAGCTGCTACCCAGACGGAGACCGGGGGAAAGGAAACCAGTGGGCAGGCCAATGTTTTTTTTCGGCAGCGCGCTGGCAAGTTTGTGGAACACTTTCTAGGAATTAGGTCTTTTTCCTCTCCCGTCATCTTCTTGACTTCTGAAGAACGAACTTGGCTTTGGATGGCCATGAAGCCTGAGGAGAGGGGGTTAGACACACTTGAATAATCCCTCCGGCTGGGCTGAATTCGTGGGAATTTAGGAAGCCACAGTGAGGAAATACAGCAGCCTTGGGAGTGCTCTGTTAATTTGGATGGATCTAAATGTGCCCCATTCAAGACCTCTCCACTAACCCCTTCTGATCTTGCCATTTGCTCTTCTTGACTTAATTAGCAGCTAGAAAAGTCTAAACTTTGGACCTACCTCTTTTTTTGATACTTATTTTTGTACTTTTGCTCTCTGGGATTGGTTTCTTAAACAATCTGGATCCTTTTTAATATGTCAAAATGAGTCGGCTGATGTTTACACAACTACTGCTCTGTGGATTTTTATATGTTCGGGTTGATGGTAAGTTAAAATGTTTCTATCCTGTCCCTCCCCCCCCCAAAAAAAACCCCCAACATTTCTTTCTGAGTTGGATGTGGGCTATAAATAAAATGACATTATATCCTTTGGTCCCTTTTGGCCAGGCATGGGGGCTTTGGGGGAAGCAGAGGTTTTAAGTCTTTTGTTTCTAAACTGCTGCAGATGGAACGTGTTAGGAGTCACCTATTGTTGTAATTTACTTAATTAATTGAGGAGTTGGGTAATAAATGATGGGCTCTCAGTTTTGTTAGAAAAAGAAATGTGAAAGTAAATCTCGTGAACGAGTCTAATACTCTTGTGCTTGTTCTCCATTTGGGGTTTGTTCTTGTATCTGAACTTTGGCTTAGAAATTCAAGTGAAGTAAGTAATAGATACCCCAGTGAAGGTGCAGTAGGTTAGGAATTTGAGTCAGGGATCTCAGGGATCAATGTGTATCACCTGCGTGCTGGTAAGTGCTCTCCTAGCGTGGTATCAGAATGAAGATTTAGATCATAGGGAGAAAACTGTCAAAAGTAAGACAGGGCGAGGCTCCAGGAAGGGGGAAGCAGAAGCTGTGGGCTGGCTGTGGGTACGGAACGCTCAGCTCAGTCCCTAGTGGCAAACACAATGGGGATCTGAAACAGGTGCTGTAGGTGTCTCCCTCTAGGTTGAGTCAGTCTGTCAAGCAGACAGCATTCTGCCTCTGATTCTCCTGTCTTTTGTTCAGATTTGGTTTCCTGGGGTATTTTCATAGGATGTCAGTTTCCTGTGGGAGGATTGCAAAATCCTTTTTTGTAGCTCTTTTGAATGATGAGTGGAAGGAATCGTTAACATGCTTTTTTGTTTGTTTGTTCCAAAGAAGAAAGTCAAAAGAACAATTTGGTATTAACCTAGCGACTTTAATTTTCACATCAATGGAAATAATTGGTCTAAAGAGAAGATTAGAGCATGATATTTTTGCCTGCATGTGTGGATTGTAGTACTTTAGATTTTTAATTACTGTACTTATAAATAATCTGAGGTGTATTGGTCCAGATACTTGAGCCATTATAGTAGCTTGTTGCTACATAAACTTTCCTCCAGTATTTGCATTGTGGACGAAGTCATTATTTGGGACACTGCCTATTTTTGCCTGCCTGTAGGAGCTAACTTTGTTCCTGGCAGCGGCTGTTGCACAGAGCCCCATGTATCAGACTCAAAAAGGAAGCCCTTCTATAAACATGAGGCAATAAGGATGAGTTTACCTTCAGTCAAGTGGCTGTTTTCAATCCTGGACTACATAAGTACCCATGCCCCCCAGCGATAGTAGGCGAGCGTTCATGTGGGCACACTGCTTTTTTCTTTTTTCCCTTCTAAGTAGTAGATGTATAGGAGTAAATCACTGTGAATTCTACTGTGGCAATATCTCTAATCATATCTAATCATTCACCAGACATTTTCTTCTTCGATACATTTACCTTTGTAATACATTTAGATTACAATCACAAAAAGGTTTTGTCCAAGTGTTTTGATTGTCACAATAAGACTTTAATATAACTTTTTGGACATGTCCTCACAAACCATGAATTTATATACTGCAATGCCAGAAATGCATTATAAACTATATATTAGATTACAGAACTATCACCAAGTTGTTGTTTTTTTTTTCAGTCGTTGTGTAGCTAGCTGGAATACAATTAAATTGCTCAGTGGAAGTGACAGAGGGAATCAGAAGAGCTTGGTGTTACAGAATGTAATTAATGTACCAGGGTGTTTGGAGATATATGAAACAAATGCAATTAACCACCTTGCTGCTGGAACAGCAGTAGCAAGACATCATTTCTCCCCTTCCCTCCCTCCTTCGTATCCTAGCTCCCTCCCTTCTTTCCCGCTCTCCACTCACCTTGCCCTTCCTGTCCCACAGATACACCTAGGACCTTTGTTCTGTTTTAACATTATAGGATAAGGGGGTAATTTGTGTCTGGGCCATAACTGTGCAGCAACGTTCATAGTAATGTAGTGAAAAATGCCCAAGATTGAGGAGTTGAAAAGGAAGTATTAAATTCTTGTGTGTGTGAAACTAGTTTTTGTATTTAGCATCTACTATGTCCAAAGCAATGGAAACTGTGGACACTTACTGAATTAGTATGCAAGTCATATGTTTGACATTGGATTGCCCTTGGTTTACCCCCTAATGATGACAGCGCCTCCATGGGGATTGTTAAAAATTTGGGATGTAGACAACACTGCCCTCTAGGCTATTTCAACACACTGGGATTGTGTGTTTACATATATAATGAGGGGGTTGTTTGTAGGATCTCTAAGCCTTCTTACTTTTCCAGGGTTCTATGATTTCTAGTTACTTATTATCCTTCTTAGAAGTGTGTGCTTATTCTCCCCATGAATTTCAAATTTAGAGAAGCTTGTACCATTTGAAAGATATACCGACTCTCCTTGTGCTAGACACAGAAATTAATTTTATTCAGTGACAAATGATACATAGATTTGCATTGAAATTTGCTTGGTGGGTTATTTATATGTGCATTTTTATAGTATATGAAAAATGTTAGAGTTTTGCATCCTCATGAAAGTTATGTGCCATTATTATTTATGATTTTTCTGTATCTTGTGTCTGTAGGAATCTGTAGAGAATAAATATTAAGTTAATTGAGAACTACAGGCAAACTTTTCTATTTGGGATGTAAATAAAGATTATCTCATTCGATACAGATTAATTAAACAAATGCAGATTTTTCCTTACTATTATGTATGAGAATATGTATTGAATTTAGCCTTTGTTCTCCAGATTTTCTTTATTTTTAAATAAGAATATGGTTTTGTAATCATTTACAGGGAACTAATATGAACTGTCACAAGACTGTTGGATTACATCTATATTAAATACATTGTGTCAGTTCAATAATTTTACAATACTGGTGAAAAGATGTTTTGCCTCTTACTGCTGTGGCCTCTCCCGTTGCGGAGCATGGGCTCCGGACGCGCAGGCTCAGTGGCCATGGCTCACGGGCCCAGCCACTCCGTGGCATGTGGGATCTTCCCGGACCGGGGCACGAACCCATGTCCCCTGCATTGGCAGGTGGACTCTCAATCACTGCACCACCAGGGAAGCCCGAAAAGATGTTTTTAAGATGAAAATATTTCTTGTCTTTAATCCTTAACTGTTCTAAAATGAAAATGGCACTTGTGATATTTGGAGAGATAAAGATGATACGTGTGCATGGTGCAGATATATAATCTCATATAGGTTTATAGGTTTTGCTAAAGTGCTTCTTTCAGTAATGGACTCATTATTGTAGCTGTATGTAGTCCATTTCAGAACTTAAATTGCATATAAGTAACCTGAAATTTCTTCTTGCAACTATACACTAATACCACGTTTGAATTGGCTTTGTTTGAATAACCTTTGATTCTAGGCAACATGTGGACCATAAACCAAAAAGATTTCTTAATACATAGAGAAAAGAGTATCTTAAAGAAAAAAAAGGTCATGATTATACCAAAAAATAAAAAAATTCTAGTTATTGCATCCTTGAGCAACCTGTATAAAATAGCATCTTTGCTGATAAAAATATGGATATGTAAGAACATTGCCTACATTTGGATACATATATAGTAATGAAGGGAGCTTATGTATGCAGGATGTGTGTGTTCAGTAATATCTGCTTCAGTAGCTCCTGCAGTCCATAGGAGTTATTTATTTATTTACTTCCTATGTGCAATTTGATTTTTGAAGAGTTAGAAAAAACAGATTTTCCTTTTTTTTTTTTCCCCGGTACGCAGGCCCCTCACTGTTGTGGCCTCTCCGGTTGCGGAGCGCAGGCTCGGCACGCGCAGGCCCAGCGGCCATGGCTCACGGGCCCAGCCGCTCCGCGGCATGTGGGATCCTCCCGGACCGGGGTACGAACCCGTGTCGCCTGCATTGGCAGGCGGACTCTCAACCACTGCGCCACCAGGGAAGCCCAGATTTTCCTTTTACTTATTTCTATTCCTAGCTCTCCTCCTACTCCTCCTGTACCACCTCTTTCTCTTCCGCCTTCATTTCTTCCTTCCCCTCCTTCTTTTTTGGACCCAGTGGAAGGAATTAAAGAAATATTTGAAGAATGAAGAAAATAGGTGAGAGGTGTCTTGGATAACAATTTAGAAAATCTGCATTTAAAGGAGATATGTTAATAATATTTTAACTTTGGATATACCCAGTTGGGGTCTTGACTCATCGTTTTTCTTTTACAATCCTGTAGAGCTTGATGCAAACTTATATAGTTCTTTTTCCAGTTTAGGCAGACAGACGTCTACAGACCTGAGTTCTAGCAGAAAGTTATAGAGTGCTATATTAGAGACTTACTTTCAAAGAGAAGTATTGTTATGCTTCTTACAGTGTTTCCAGGTATAGCCCTGTCAACCTAAATCAATACATTGATGTTGTTAATGATTTTCTTCTTTTTTAAATTATTGAGTGAAGCATGAATGAATGATGACATAAAGTCTTTTAAGGGGAAATTTCCATAAACTCTGGCAATGTTTCAGCATAGCAGAAATCTAATATAGCATCTGAAGTGCAGCATATTCACCCAAAAAACCTGTCTCTAACCAAACAACATTGGAGTGATCTAGGCCTCAATCCTTAGTGTTTTTTCCTCCATTTGCACCTAATCCTTAATGTCTTTCATCTGGTCGCATGGGTTTTAAATACTTCTTTATTCTGATACTTCTCAAATTGCCCTAATCACTTGTGGAAGAATGTAAATTCCATGAGATTACAACTTGGCTCTTCTATTTACCATGGTATCTCCAGTGCCCGTACATTACTTAACTTATCCAGCTGACTACATGATATCTTTGCTTGATATCTAATAAGAATATATCAGACTTGGATAGTAACTAGATTTGTTGTGGTGATCATTTCCCAATGTATACAAATAGCGAGTCATTGTGTTCTACACCTGAAACTAATACAATGTTGTATGTCAATTATACCTCAATAAAATAACTTTTAAAATGAATAT